TTTGTCGGTTTTTCGTCCCGTAACGGAGCTCACCGTGAGTCTGAACGGGAAATGGACGCTGTCAAACTCCAACGGGTCGCTGCTGCTGCCTGCGGAGGTTCCCGGCTGCGTTCATTCAGCTCTGCAGCAGCAGGGATTCATCCTGGTAGGAAGAGAGAATGACTAAATATAAAGAGTAGTCATAAAATGTGAATTATGCCGGTTTATATATGCACGTGTCTGACTGCAGAGTGGTTTTAATGTGCAGTTTTCTGTCATTTTGGTGCAAGTTAGTCATGCAAATCTCAGCCAGACTGTTGCTGCAGCTAACAGGCATGACAGTTTTTCTCAGTCGCTTTGGTACATTTCTCGAATCTGCAAAAACAGTAAGTGCATTTCTCAAAACAATTTGTACAAATAGCCAAACACCATGGATCACCTGCAAAAGACAGCTACTTGCTCAAAATCCTTAGTTCATCTCTCAAAACTAAATATCTGTGTCAATGAACATGTCAGCGCCATCAGAATGACAAGTCCTTGTGTCAGTGTGTACGATAAGACAGTCAGATTGTTTAGTCATGTTGTCGGTATAACAGTGTACTCTGGAGGGATGTTCTGACTATGGCTAAAATTTTGATGACAATTATTGTAAACTGTGAGTTACACCTTAGTGTGTGTGGGAGGTTGATTGCAAGAGCCTGGACAAGATTCACATTTAGGCTTTTACTGTTTGTGCTGTAATTTGTTGACAGACCATGTCATTGTGATACAGAAAGGAAAAGACAGCACCGCACAGCACAAAGACAAAAAACAAAAGTAGAAATGTGAACATAGGAAAATCTCCTTAGGGAAAACTGTACATGCAGTGCTGTAGGAGTTACAGTGCAGTCTTCCTCTACACTTGCCAGTTGATGGATCATAAAATGCACCTTTGAGCTCTTTCAGAAAACTGGTTGATCATTGGTCGATCAATGTAATGCTACACACATTTCCCTTCATTAGAGGAAGTTAAGATTCACCTCGGAGCAGCTTACCAATTCAGGACCGATTTAGAAAAAAGTCTCATGGAAATATGCTCGACATGTTCTGACAACTTGTTCAAACATTTTACGTGTAAAGACTTATGCGATGAACTAAAGCCTAAATGTTGTGGGGGTGAGACTATTCAACTGAGACCCATTGTCATACATTTTGATCAACATGACATAAGGAACTGATAATGTAGGAAACAGCAAAGAATTGCACATAATCATTTGCATAATTGAGAGTAAGTTGGTTAAACTGGCTGCTGAGGAGTGATGCTGATGTGTTTTAATGTCTGTTTCAGTCTCGGTAAGTCTTTCGATGTGTAGAGGAAGCAGCAGCTGTGTTATTTAGTAATGTCGTGAATGTTTGACAGATTTTTATAAAAAGACAATTTAATTCTGAGGTTGACAAGCAAACTGCCAGTATCTAAACATCTTTTAAAAATTTTTTTAAAACAAGGAATTATTTCGGTCTTTAGGTCACAGAATAATTAATTTGAATGATTTTTAAAGAATTGACATAAATGGGCCAAACATACATCTAGATATTTATTAAGAGCCAGTTAGTTTGAAATGTTTCAAAAGCATAATCTCTCTTCTTTTGAGTTATATTTGATGAGATTTGACTTTATTTTATTTGCCCTTCCTTTGTGATAATTAAATATGGTGTTTTATTTTGTTTTTTTAAATTCATATATTCTTCTTTTTCTTAATATCTTTGAACGCAATCAGCTTTCAATTCTGTACATTCTTGGCCTTGCATAAAAAAAGAGCACACAGTGTTTATTCAACATAGTAGTTGTAAATAAAAACAAAAAAACAACCTGAAAACTAATTATTAGATGACAATCCATATCCAGCATGCAAAATTGAAAGCAAACAGGTGAATTGAAAGGCAACTGGTTTGGAGCTACATGAGTGCAAAGAATGCTGGGAAGTTGACATTTATTTAGTTTGCATCTCCAAGTAGGGAATGGAAAAATGACTCAGTCTCATGAAGCTTGGCAGGGAAAAGTTGTAGCTGCAGCCTGAAGTGAAGTGTGACCACAAATCTGACAGACTGGTACCATCAGTGTCCAAAGAGGAGCTTATTTTTCTGCATATAGAACATTTTGGCACCCACCAGTGAGGCTTCAGCCAGCACCGAAGGAAACCAAACCCAAAATGCAAAGAAATGAGAATAAAAACAAAGAAAAAAATCTATTGCTAAACCATTTTTTTTTCATTGAGATATCAATTGCACAAGCATATTTGACCATTTTTGTTTATCAAAAGGTCCAAAATAACAGGAACATGCGTAGACTTCTGCCCAATAAGGTAACACAGACTGATTGCCTTTATTGTGTGTGGACTGATTATGCTTACTGTACATTCATTCTCCAAAGGCTCATTTAGAGTCAAGAAAAAGGCTACTTGTGAACAAAACTGAAGGTGTACTTAAAAAAATTTCAAAAATGAAATGATAAATGGACACAAATGAGAATTGGACTCAGTTTTGTTGCACTTTTTAGCCCATATCTTCAGCTTAATCTATCCAACCTGTTTGTTTTTAGCTTTACGTGAGCTCACACAGAGTTTAAATTTTAGAATTATTTATCAAACGAATGATCTTGTTCACAAAACTAAGAGCTAAGTGCAAAACTAAGTGCAAAACTAAGAGCCTTAGTTTTGCTGCAAACGTATTTTGTCCTGGGAAAGTAAAAGCTGCAATATGCTTCACCTAAAGCCCTCTTAACCTGGTAGGATTATTCATGCATGTGTTGCTTCTAAGTCCCGTGTTATTCCTGTGAATAATGAACTTGAGTATCTCATTAACGCTGACTGGAAGCGGAGACTTCTGCTTCCTGTTTACCACCTGTTAACTGTCTCCTCGCCTGGTAAATAAAACTCCACATATACAATATCTATTTAAACTTTATTTTAGCTGAGTGGGCTCCAAGGTGGCTCAGTGGTTAGCATGGTTGCCTCACAGCAAGAAGGTCGCCAGTTCACGTCCCAGTGAGGACACCCGGGATCTTTCTGCGTGGAGTCTCCATGTTCTCCCCGTGCAGCGTGGGTTCTCTCCGGGTTCTCCGGCTTCTTCCCACAAGGTCCAAAAACATGCTGAGGTTAATTGGTGATTCTAAATTGTCTGTAGGTGTGAATGTGAGTGTGCTTGGTTGTCTGTCTCTAAGTGTAGCCCTGTGATAGACTGGTGACCTTTATATTAGAAAAGTGCTAAAATTCTTTGGGGGGTGATCTGGAGATCTTAAACTTTTAGCGTCTCTTGTCATTAAAAATTGTCAGCTGCAGGCCGGAACCCATTTTCACACACCTTTTTATAGACATAAACTAACTAGAAATGAAATAAAATGTTGAAGTCCAGCTAAACTCTTTCCTCACTCGTCTTCCAGGACCCATATTTCAGGTTCAACGATTTGTCTTATCGGTGGATTTCACTTGACAACTGGACGTATACGACCACGTTTACTGTCCCTCCTCAGCTGAGGTCTGTATCGTGATGTTCATGATTTCTAAAAAGATTTTTCAGTGCCCTGTTTCTGACTCCTTTTGCCTGTTTTCTGCATTAACAGGGTCAAACGGAAGGTGCTGCTGGTCTTTGACGGCGTGGACACTGTGGCGTCCGTCTCTCTCAACGGGGTCACAGTCGGGAAGACGGACAACATGTTCCGTAGATACGTATGTTCAGCGTGAGCCGTTCAGGGTTTTCTTTCATGTCACGCTTTAAAATACCTTCGTGTTGTTGGTGTGTAGGACTTCTCGGTGAGCGACCTGCTGAAGGACGGAGATAATGTGCTGGAGGTTAATTTGCTGTCTCCGGTTGTTTACGCGTCTGAGCGGAGGAAAGCTCATTCGTCCTACAGAGTTCCTCCCGAGTGTCCTCCGGACGTCCAGAAGGGAGAATGTCACGTCAATTTCATCAGGAAAGTAAGTAGGTTATATCCTGCCATGTGTTACTGTTTGATTTTAACCTGATTTTATTAATATAGAAGTTGTTGCTGTATATTGTAGGACAATACAAAAGTAACCCCTGGTGTTTCTTATTTTCTATTTTGTCAGTAGTTAACTGATGTCCACTAATATAGCACTTCTGAGTTAACCAACCCACAGCACAAGACGGTGATGGGCTTGTTTGAAAAAGATAGATTGCTTTTTATTTGACTGACAGCTTTAAACCTATGAGGAGTTTTAGAGTTGGTATCCAGCTTGTGAATTATGCTAACTTTATCTAGCGTTTCATTTTCCCTTTAAATTGGGTTACAACAGAGTGCGACATCACATGCAGTCAGTTCAAGTTTCTACAGTTTGTGCTCTGACCAACATGTAGCTTTGATTTTATTTTTTTAAATACAACATGTTTTTAAACCAAACCGGGCAAGTGGTTAGGGTTCGTATTGTTGCCTCACAGCTAGAAGGTCGCCGGTTCGCGTCCCGGTGAGGACACCCGGGATCTTTCTGCATGGAGTTTGCATTTGCGGGTTCTCCGGCTTCCTCCCACAGTCCAGAAACATGTTGGGGTTAATTGGTGATTCTAAATTGTCCGTAGGTGTGAATGTGAGTGTGCTTGGTTGTCTGTCTCTAAGTGTAGCCCTGTGATAGACTGGTGACCTGTCCAGGTGAACCTGCCTTCACCCTGAGTCAGCTGGGATAGACTCCAGCCCCCCACGACCCTAAGCGGTGTATGGCTAATGGATGGATGGATGTTTTCAAACCTGCTGCAGGTTTTGGGTTTCAGAGGGTTAAACTGATGAAGCAGAGGGGAAGATGTTCTTTCAATCCAAAATTAGAAGGATCATCTCGACCTGATTGGAAAGTTAAATTAATAATCTGACATGTGGAAAATATTTTGATGCAGAATGTAGGAAAATTACAGCCAACAGATCATCATGTTGTGTGTAGATATTAGAATATAATATAGATAAAGATGGTAATTATTGTGGAAATCAGCTTTTAAGCAGGGGAGCTAGTTGATAAATTCATTTTCAAACAGCAGTTTTACCCATAAACTTTAATTCTTTTACCTTTTACCTTCATCTTGTCAGAACCACCTTGTTTTTCCTTTTTTTCTAAGGTTATCACATTGTGTAGTTTCCCTTTGTGTCGCCAAATCAGTCTGGACTGAAGGTGTTCTGTGGCCTCAAGCACTGATACTTTATGTTCTGACATCTTTCCATCAGAGCAACATTAAGGTTTTTTTTTTTAGCTCTTCTGTGTTGTTCTTCTTTGCTCCCCACATCCATGAATGAGCCTTGTTGTCGGTTTCACTGCTAACCACCGCATACCAGGACACACCGCAACACCTGCCACCTTGGAGTTGACACAATGATCTTGTCATCACAGTTTGTCAAAGACTCTCAGACCCTCCTGCTTCCCATTTTTCCTGTTTCTAGCGCTTCAACTTCAAGAACTGATTGTTCACATGCAGCCTGATATCTCCCACCTCTTGTCAGGCGCTAATGCAACAAGATAATCAATGTTCTCCACTTCACCTGTCAGTGGTTTTAATGTTGTGGCTGATCGGTGTAAACAAATGACATCGTTGTTGTGTTGTGGTGCAGGAACAGAGCTCCTTCAGTTGGGACTGGGGTCCTTCGTTCCCCACGATGGGTCTGTGGAAAGGAGTCCAGCTGGAGGCGTTTGATATTCTGCAGCTCGTCCAGGTTTCCTCCGTCCCTCTCTACGGTACGTCCCGTCTAATCTTCATCTTTTGGTCAAAACTACAAAATAAAAAAAAAGAAAAAAGAATGCCGTCAGGATAAACACAGATGCTTTCAGGCGTAAGCAGAATTTTAGAGAAAGCGCCTCTCGTCTGAAAGAAAGTGTTGCATTATTTATCTGTTGCGTAAGAGCAGTTGTGTAAGATGCAGCAGCTCGACAAACAGAGGCAGTTTATTTTTCTGGTCAGAGTTGCCTCGACTTTAGATTCTTGGAATTCAGTGTTTGGTCGGAGCTTCCTCAGGATGCAGAGATGGGAAAGCTCAAGTCAGTTTTGAGAATTAACTGCAGTAATTCCTGAAACCCGAGAGTGTGTTAATCTTGTGTACAAATAAACGTTTGCACACATTTTCTCCCACTTTGAAATCTGAAAAGCAAATAAGAGGCAGTCTTTTTTGCAGAATACATTCAAATATTCTTGCATCTTCTGGATTTTCTTTGCCCACTCATATAGTTTTATCCCCCCCTCTGTGTTTCCCTTTTTAGTTATTTATATTTAAATATATTTTGGGGGCTTTTTGCCTTTATTTAGAGCAGTAGAAAGACAGGAAAGGGGGGGAGAAGAATGGGAAGAGACCTGCAGCAAAGGGTTGTGAGTGGAAGTCGAATCTATGAACTATAGACCCTGTTTATGGGTCACCTGCTCAACTAGATGAGCTATCGGGGCGCCCTGTGTTTCCCTTTTTGTGTAATTTTATTTCTAATCTATACTCTGTTTGTCCAGACTCCAGCGTCTCTCAGTGGAAGCTGCAGGTTGAGCTTCATGTCGATGCAGTTCAGACAACAAATGGACGAGTGACGCTCTCGATACCCGAGCTGGGTACAGAGCAAACCTCCCAGATGCAGTTTCTTCAAGGAAAGACGAAGAACAGCTTCGTCCTAAACATCAACACGGTGCTTTGAAACAATCCTGTCAACTGTTGTGTGTGAAAAATGGCAGATTTTTAGATTTTGCAGACACTTAGAAAGGAATAAATAAGCAACATGGCGAATTAAAGTTTAATATATGTTGCTAAAGCTAAGCAAAGCTCTTACTTTCTTCATTTATTGTGATATTTATGATACTATTCCTTCTTTTTATCATAATAAAAATGTTCCAGAGCAGCCAGGTGAAGCTGTGGTGGCCCAGCGGACACGGTGACCAACACTTTTACCGCCTCGCTGTCAGAGGATTTCAGGATGGATTCTTAGTCCTCAATACAGAGTCTAAGGTCAGAGATCAACGCTTACATTCATATCATCAAAGCAAAGCAAGTTTATGTATCAAGCACGTTATAAAGCAACCTGAGATGATGAAAGAGCTGCACAAGTTATTTATGCTTCATTTTGAATTCAGCTCCAGCAGATTTTTGTATCTTTATGTGGTTGTTTTGCAGCTCTTTGTGGTTATTTGCAGCTTTTTGTGGTGTGTTTCTATATTGCAGCGTCTTAAATGTAATATTTTCTAGTTCCCTTCCTCCCCCGTGACAGTAAACTGAAAATCTTTGGGTTGTGGACAAAACAGGACGTTTGTCATCTTGTGCTTCCACAAGCAGCAACAACAATATGTGCATAAAACAGCAAGGCAGGATCAAAACAAAAACTCTAATTGTAAAACACAGTAGATTAAATATACAATACTAGTAAAGCAGGACAGAACAGGATAGTACAATTTATTTCTAAAATGAAATAAATATAAAAGATCCCTAAGAGCAACCAAAAGCCATTGAAAACAATATGAAACAATTAATGATTTTCGATTCATTAAATATTTAAACGTTACATTTTTATGCACATTTCCCAAATTCCAGTGTTGTTATTAGTTTCAGTTTCTAAAATAAAATGAGTATAAACCTAAAGCCATTTGATACTAAATTAAACAATGAATTTATTATATTAAATTACACACTTAATTGATAACTATTTTTTCAAACTACTTTATATATAATGTTAGTTATTTAATCATTAAAACAGTAATAATAATAGCATACATTACATATCTATGCACATTTCCCCAAACTAAAATGGATTGTCACTACTGAAGCTGAATTCATGAAGGTTGTCGTTTGCAGTTTTGTAATAAAAGTCAAACTCTGCGTCCTTTAAAGTCGTTACAGATGAGTTCAAGGTGAGCTGATGAAAGTTTCTGCTGCAGGTGTATTTCCGAGCGGTGGAACTGGTCCAGGAGCCGGTCGTCGGCTCTCCAGGGTTGAGCTTTTATTTCCGCATCAATGGGAAACCAATTTTCCTGAAAGGCTCCAACTGGATCCCGGCCCACTCCTTCCAGGACCGAGTCACGCCTGCTGTGTGAGTTCAGTCTGAAAGGCTGAGGGGAATACTGTTCGTTTACACCTTTGTTCCTCTTTGGCGTCTTTGCAGAGCAGGCATCTTCAATTTGCAAACACATTAACACTGAAACTACCCGCTCGCTGTTTGTCCTGCAGCTTGAGGAACTTGTTGCAGTCGGCGGTGGATGCCAACATGAATGGCCTCAGGGTCTGGGGAGGTGGAGTGTACGAGCAGGATCTGTTCTACGACATCTGCGATGAGTTGGGCATCATGGTAACTGCTGCAACCCTCTACTGGTCTAAAAACAATAGAACAGTTTTGTAATAGTTGTAAAGCAGGATGCCATCATTCGTATATAAGAAATTAAATAGTACAGAAACAACATCCTCTTTGCATCAGGAAGTGCTGAAGTGTATGGGTGCGGTCTATGAACTGGACAGAGTACAGGTTTTTGCATTCAAAGTGCAGCAGTTTTTCTGTTTTTCTTTTTTTTTTTACAGTACATGACAAGACTTTTTGATATGTTAGATCATTTTGCATCCAATTTTAAATATAATTCTGATACCTCAATCAGCCACAACATTAAGACCTGCTTATTGATGCATTGATTCACCTCATGCTGCAAAAAAAAACCCCAAAAAAACAAATCCTTTGAGTTGTGGGTTGCAGCGTGAGGCCTCTGTGGCATCAGGTTTGTTCTGACAAATCCCATGGATGCTTTTATTGGATCAGAATCTCGGGAGTTTGGATCTCGACTGGGCTCTTGGTCGTGTTCCTCACCAAGCCACTGTTCCTTACCAGTTTTTGTGTTGTGGTGGGGGTGGGTTTGGTCTGCAGTAATCTTTAGGTGGATCTTTATGTGTCAAAGTAACCCAGCAGAATATCGCATTTTAACATAACAATCGATTTTACTCACTTCTCCTGTCAGTGGTTTTGCTGCTGTTGCTGATCGGTTCATATATAACATGTAAATGGACTAAAACATGGTATGAGGTCATTACAGTGTTCTACATTTAATACAAATTAAGATGAATGTGGGTAAAACCTGTATGCTGCTGTCATAGCATGTGTTTTGATATCAAACTTTCACTTTGGATTTTATATATATATATTTACATACACATATTTTTTTATTTTATTTTAAGGTTTTTAGCATTAAAATTGTAAAAACTGAAATTGAATTCTGCAAAATACAGTTTTTTTAAAAAATATTTTAAATAAGTAAAGCACCATAAAAGAATGGTTGAATATATATATTTTTTAAAAAACAACGAGAAAAGTGGGAAAAAAAGAAAAAAGCATTACAAAATAGAAACCCAGCATCTTCCTGGAACAAACAGAAAATTCATATTTTAAAAAATGATGGTCATACAGTTAAAATACACCCAATCCATGTTCTGTTTTTTTTTTTCAGAAAGCAGTCCTGTTGCAGTCTGATTGTAAATTATTGTCATTGTGAGTTGTGCATACAGAAAAATTAGAAGTGCTGATCCTCTGTGGTGCATCGAAAATGCTAATTAATAAAACACAAAACGTTTGGTAATAAATGAGATCAATATAAAAATAGATAATATGAACACTAAATGTAAATCTGAGTGCAGAAATACAGCACTGTAAGTAACATTAGTAGATAAATATTGCACCAGAGTGTAGATTGTGGTAAGCAGCAACATGACTAAGTAGTAAATAACATTATTATGATTATATTGCACACGAATAAATAAAGTGTGGGATGAATTGCATGCATAGGAAACCTCCCAAAGATGAAAATGAACCATAAACAAAGTCTGCTTGACAAAGATCTGCAAAAGAGAACAGAATTACACACAAAATGCACCAAACTTAAGTGCAAAAAGCTCCTGCAAAGTATTGTTATTTAATCATAATGCAACGTTCTGCTGGGAAATCTTGGCTCCTGGCATTTATGTGGAACCGAGTTGAACCGAGCGCCACAGGCTCAAGGAGCACGACCAAGAGCCTGAGCTTCTCCCCAGACCAGAATCCAAGCAAACCTCATCTCCTTCACAGTGCAAACTACACGACCCAAAAGATCCGCCGCCAGCGTCCCGATGCCAGAATCAACAGGAAACCAATGAGTCACAGCTACACATTATTTAAGCAGGGGGTTTTAATGTTGTGGCTCATCGGTAGTTGTGTATTTTAGCTGACTGACATGAATTTTAACATCTGGAAGCTGCAGCTCCAACAGTGAAAATCCCCCTTGAGCACCACCGTTACATAAAATGTGTGAAAAATAACATTTGGGCGCCGATAGACTGTATTTATATATGCGGCGTTGATTGTGTAACACGGCTGTGACTCATGGGTGCATTGTGGAACAGATGGCTCCTCAAAGTGTTTGTGTCTCCAGGTTTGGCAGGACTTCATGTTTGCTTGTGCCATGTATCCCACCGAGGACGACTTCATACAGACGGTGAGAGAGGAGGTCGTCCAACAGGTGAGTTAACGCACAGGTGGGATTGTTGTTTTGTTTTCTGAAGGTGTAGTGTGTCGTGTGTGCACCGATGAGCTGGTTCAGAAAGCACAACGTACACATATAAGCAGGTTGAATCAATATTTCTACATAAAAGGCATTTTTAGAACCATTGTTTAACCCCGTTAACACACCAGCTGGGCCTTTTTACAGGCTGTAACTGGACTTTCAAAATAAAATGCTGGATTCTTCCATCTCAAATCGTTGGTGGCTTTTCTGTTTGACCATCTCTGATTTACTTCAAGCTTTTTTATCATAAACTATGGATACATAAAATGGTATCTATAAAGTTTTAGCCTGATATATATATATATATATATATATATATATATAGCCGAGATTCAATTTACTTTGAGCATTTTTTTTTTTGTACAATTACATTTTAGGCTATGTTTGATTATTAATATCTCAGAGACTATTACATACAAAAGCCTGTAATTTTCACTGTTATTTCTCATCATGTCATTGATTCAGAATCTCTAATATTGGACAAGTAGATCCAAGAGTCTCACATTATGGGCAAGTTGAAATACAAAAAAACGCTTGAAGCCATCATTAAAAGTCACATTTTTGAGCACAGATTACCATCAGCTACTGATATTTTCTTATATATGTGTAGCTGCATGTCACAGAAATACAAAACTAACATATAAATACTTTTAATATGAAATATACAGCCACAAAAATGAAAAAATGAAATTATTTTCATTGAACTTTACTAACTGATTGAGCTTGCACCACAAAAACAAAAATATTACAAGACAGCCTCATGCAAGTAACATTTTATCTTGGAAAGTATTATATATATTAAGCTAAAATGCCACAAATACCTTTATAAATATCCATCGTTTATGCTCTAAATCTCTTTTTAGCTAAATCAGAGGTGGTTGAGTACAAATTTTCCTAAAAACACCATAATATTAGTTGGAATGATCCTGCCACATTTTAAGATTTTTTTTTTTTTTACATGAAGTATGCTGACAGCCAGTTTCTGTCTTATTTTAACTGTCAGGTTCGCCGCCTAAAGTCCCACCCCTCTATCATAATTTGGAGCGGAAACAATGAAAACGAAGCAGCTCTGGCGACAGACTGGTTCAACATCCCGGCTGCCCAGAGGCCAACGTACCTGAAAGACTACGTGACGCTTTATGTGGACAACATACGGCAGATCGTGCAAGAGGTGAGAGTCCAAAGAGGATTTGTGGTTAAAAGGTTCCAGAGAACTCATTGTTCTTTTTATAATCGAGTAGAAACAAAAGTAAGATCTGACAGAGGATGAATCTCTGCTTCAGGAGGACCAGAGTCGCCCTTTCCTCATCTCCAGTCCGACAAACGGGGCTGAATCGGAGCAGGAGGGCTGGGTGGCGGCGAACCCTTATGATCCTCACTACGGAGACGTCCACTTCTACAGCTACACCCTCGACTGCTGGGACTGGAGGACGTTCCCTCGGACACGTTTCGCCTCTGAATATGGCTTCCAGTCCTGGCCGTCCTTCTCCACTCTGCACCTGGTAACTCAACGTTGCTATCTCACTTTTCATACTCGTTTATCCAGAAGATTTGAACTCAAAAACTGCCGTGCTTTCTAAAGGAGCTACTATTTCTCTCTTTTGAGCCAGTACACAGCTGAACAAACAGTTTTTTTTAACTTATCTTATCAGGGACCAAAGCTGTAACTGTGATCAGACATCTTTGACTAAATAGTTTTGAGAAACACATATTTAGGTCTCTAAACCCATTTTTAGTTGAGTTATTTCCTCAACTACCCCTACTGTGAATTCAATTAACAATTGTTTATCTTCAGGGTTGTTTTACTTATGTGAAAGTACTAATTATACCTCACTGTAAAAAGAAAAAAACTCTATTACAAGTAAAAGACCTGCATTTAATGTTGCTTAAATAACAGTATTATCAGAAAAACAGATTTAAAGTATTAAATGCAGAAAAAAGTCCCCTGTGAGTGTTATACTGTTATATATCATGACATTAGATTATTATCAATGATGCAATAATGTAAAAGCAGGACTGTACTGTTGTAATAGGTTCACATGGAGCTGTTTACAAGATTTTTTTCTGATTTATTGATGGTTTGGTTCAGAAAAAGCAAAAAATGTTAATAAGAGAAATTCTGTCACATTTATCCAGCGACGCCTTCAGAATGCTTGTTTTTTACAAACCTCAGAATTATTAAAAATAATTGAAAATCATTAAAATAATTAAAAGGAAACGGGCAAATCTTTACACACGTGAAGCAGGAAGTGAAAAATGACCCAAACAGTTAATCAATTAAATCTCTGCAAATCAGCTGATTGATTAAATGAGTAATTGTTTCGGCTGTACTTACATAAACTGCTGGTTGGTTAAGTTAATGACAAAACATCATGCATGGAGGCAAAACATAAAAAATCTGCAAAATTACTAATTACTGCAACAACAGCGACGCAAAGGAGAAAGTATAAAGTGCAATGAATAGAAAATAGTAGCTCAAAATTGCACTTGAGTACAGTAATGGAGTAAATGTACCTAATGGAGTAATAAAGCGGAAAAAAGAGAAGATTATTCGGTCATAAAATATTCCTTAAAATGGATAGAATTATTGCAAAAAGGCTCCATTTGGTCAGGAGATGTATGCTGAATGTGTCCATCAGACATCAGAGCTCAGTAGAATCGTATTAGTTTCCTGTCTGTCTGTGATGTAAAGTATTGCTTCTCTGGTTTTTGTTTCTCGCTGTAGGTTTCCGTTAAAGAAGACTGGAGCTACGACAGTAACTTCACGTCTCACCGTCAACACCACGAAGCAGGAAACCAGCAGATGTTGCTGCAGGCCGCGCTTCACTTCAACCTGCCGAACTCTACAGATCCTCTGAGAAGGTTTACAGACACTCTGTACATCACTCAGGTGAACTTTTACATATTTTACTCCTCCGTCACTCTGCTCTGTGAACATCAGTTACTTTCACCACAAGTCTGAAGTGAAAACAGTCGAGGTAGGATGTTGTTATGCAGGCGACACAGCAGTTTCATTGTTGAAGAGCTCAAACAGATTATTCATCATAGTTATTAGTTCTTTCCCTGCTAATAGGAGTCAAAATGTCTGGTTTTGTAAAAATTCTGAGCCTTGGTATCGATTTTAATTATCAAAACTGAGGATTTGACAGTAAAAACATAGATTGTGGGTGGACTTTAAGTTTTAAATCCATCACTTATTCCTGGGAGAAATTCAAAACATACACAATGCTTGAATTAGCAGCCTGAATCAAAAACAAGCTCTTTTCTGAGTCGAGTAGTTTGTAAAAGAGTTCTCACTCATTCAGCACAGCTCTTGTATCATTTTTGCACTTGTGATGGAGAGATTTTTAAAATGAAATGTCAAAACTGATGCAGCAGAAGGCATCTTTTTTTGTCCTATGCCCTTTTTCTTCCCCTCAATTTAACACTTTGCACACTTTGATGTGTAAAATGCTTTTATGTGCTGAAAGTTAGAGGAAAAGCTGCAAAAATCATGAATGAAATGAAATGTTATCAGATCACTTTAAAGGGGTTGTTTGACAGGTTTTATTATTTTCGGACACCCTGTTTCCACTTCTTATGCTAAACTAAGTTAACCTGGCTGCAGCTTCATATTTAACACGAGTCATTGCAAGAAGAGGAAGTAGCTTTGTTACCTAAAGCCAACAATTAGCATAAACAATTAAATGATTTTGTAGGCTTATACTGCTTAGTGCTTATTGCCAATTATTCTTCAATGTCCAGGTCATGCAGGCTCAGTGTGTGAAGACGCAGACGGAGTTTTATCGGCGGAGTCGGAGTGAAATCATCGGAGGTGAAGGTCAAACTATGGGCGCTCTGTACTGGCAGCTCAACGATATCTGGCAGGCGCCGTCCTGGTCGTCGATTGGTGAGTTTCTAAGCAGATTCTGTTTGGGACTTCGGTTTATATTTGAGATGTGGCCTCAAAAAAAGTGCGGGAATCTCATGCAAATGTAAAAATGACTGGAGATTGTGCAGAAAACCCATCCCACGTCATCCCCTCGTCATCTCTGTGTGTGTGCAGAGTTCGGTGGAAAGTGGAAAATGCTGCACTACTTTGCACAGAGCTTCTTCGCTCCCGTCCTGCCCGTCGGCTTTGAAGACGACGAAACGCTGCTCGTCTACGCCGTCTCAGACCTGAGTCATGACCTGAAGCTCAGGGCTGTGGTACGTTGACTAAAATAGAACCTGTATTTAATCAGACCACAATAGTATATGATGGAAATATGAATAAAACATGTCTATAATTAAAAAAGAGTTTGTTATAGTGGCATTAATTCATTAACTGTCATCAGTAAATCACTCTAATTCCTATTAACCTTTAACTGTTGGAGTTTGTAAAGCAGAATGTCATTAATTCCCAAAATAAAGTACAATATCTGTTTGGTTTAGCTGCTAATACATGACAGTTTGCTTTATCTTTTAAATAAGACTGATCACATGTTGATAATTTAATATTTTCTGATGGTAAAATATGAATTTTAAACCTGTACTTTGTCATCCAAACAAAAGATATCCATTATAAGGAGGAAAATAATGGTTAAAACCAAATTAAGCTCATGTGTTACTCTATTTTCAAAAATACAATAAAGGAACCTATGAAGCTGTAGTTTTTTTTAATTTGTATTAGGCTGTTTAAATGAGAAAAAGCACTAAAAATATTACTTTATGGTGGTGATTAGATCAGCTGAACTCTTTAAGTTAAACAATCCAAACATATTTACATGATATTGTTCTAATACGCCTGCAAAAATGTGATTATTTTATTGTTCTATTGTGGTTATTTTACTGAATTCTCTCTCTATATATATTTTATTTGAGTTATTTGTGCACTATGGTTATTTTACTGTTGTTCTTTCATGTATTTTGTGTTTTATTCTCGACTATGTTTGTGCAACAAGCACTTTGTTTTAGAAAGGTGCTAAACAAATAAGGTTAATATTATACTATTATTATTTTATCCTCGTGTCGCTCAGGTGACCGTGTACTCCTGGTCTGAGCTGGATCCGGTCTGCACCCGGACATCCGACCTGCTGACGGTACCTGAAGGCAGCGCCGTGCCCGTTTTCAAGCAGCCTGTCGCCGCCCTGCTGGCCGGATGTGGACGCTGCAGCCGCCCCACCTGCCTGCTGACCTTCCACCTGGAGGACGGCGGCGGACAACAGCAGGGTCCCACCAACCACCACTTTCTCTGCTCACCCAAAGACGCTCAGGGCCTGAAGACGCCCAACATCACCGTAAGTTTAATCTTTTATTTGTTTTACACAGATAAATATTTGATTATATGAGTGTATAAGAAGCACAAGGCATTTAAAGCCCATCTTAGGTGAAAATCAAGTTTTCTTTTACTTTGTTAAAACGTCTATGTGGTGTTTTGATACATTGGAATCATGAGTGAAATCATTTCCACCTTAAAACTGCAGTTTTCTGATGACAGCCGCAAAAATACGGATTCAGACTTTCACAGTTTCATCAATTACAAACCATAGACTGTATAAAAGATGGACGTAGGAACCGGCCTTGAAAAATGAAGCCAACCCAGAAGTGTCAAAAACCTGCAATATCACTACGTCCACTAGCTGCTGGTTCCAAAAAGCCCTGGCTCCCATAGAAATGAATTGGAAAAGAAGTGATCACAGATCACAAAATACTGCATTCCTACAGCTCAGGATTGTTTTCTTATTAGTTTTCATGGTCAAATCCAGAGAACAGGTGGCCAATCTGAAAATAAATCAATACTGAATTTTTAAAAAATCTTCAAAATGTTGCGGGGCAAGGGGCGTGGCTGGCTTGAATGACAGTCGGCAGCGACGATGTAGACGAAGCGAGCAGAAGGCGGTAAATGTGGGCGGGCAGAGAGGGCCCGCCTCTCAATCCATCTGACCAATCACTGCTCCTATGGCTCCGCCCCCCCTTTGATGATTTTTGCGTCACTGGCTCCAAAAATCCAAGATGTCAACCAGGAAGTAGCAAAACCCTGGCTTCATTTTCTCAGTGCAGAAACCAACGGGTGACGTCATGCTAGCTACGTCCATCTTTTATGCAGTCTATGTTACAAACCTAAAGAACCAGTTCAGTTAAGGAGCTTTTTGCATCATTATTCTTCTTCACAATCAGTTTTCGGTTCGAACATTCACGGTTGAATTCCTCCAATATTACAGAGCAACTAACCGTTGACCGACTTTCAGCACGTTTTATCCTGCATTGACATTGAAGGTTGTGTGAACATCAATATCTCAATAATTAATAAAGATAAAAGCCTGAAATTTTCTCTGTTATTTCTCACCATGTCATTGATTCAGAATCTGCAATATTGGACAAATAGATCAAACATTCTCTGATTAAAATAACAAAAAGTGCCATCCTTGAGCATGAATTAACAAAAAAAATTACAATGCAGAAGTCAAGTAGCGATATTTTATAAAGTATATGTAGCTATACAACACAATAATACAAAACAAAACACATATAATATGAAATATTTATTCACGAACATGAAAAAAATAACATATTTTAGTTTGTTTTTCAGAACTGATTGAGCAGGTGTGACAAATTGTACCACAAAAACAAAAACATTGATTGATAGTCTGATCCAACAGAGGTATTCAGTTTCAAAATGTTTCACTAAATATAACATAAAATATACTAAATATATAGTTTTGTTAAAATAGGAATGTTTTATTTTCTTTGGATGCCACCTATGTTCTCGTTCAAACAAATTTCAATGTGCAGAAAAAGGGTTGAAAGTGAGTCGACGGGCAAATTTTAAAAAGATTTTCCCAGAAAGTATTTGAAATATCAAGTCAAAAGTTCACACATATCTTTGTAAATATCCATATTTTATGCTACAAACAAATCAGAAATGATCGAGCAGAAATTGTTCTAAGAATCTGATCATGTGAGATGGAACGATTCTTGTTAATTTGCTGCTGATTGGTTTAGGTGATAAGTTTAAGGAGGATGATGTGTTAACTTATGTGCTGCATGAATAAAGTTATTGTTATTATTGTTCTTAGCGTTGTGGTTTGTGGTGTTTCCCTGCAGGCGAAGGTGCAGCAGGACGAGTCGGGCTTCACCGTCAGCCTCCACTCTGCCTCTGTGGCTCCTTTTGTTTGGCTCGACGTGGGAAACGTCGCCGGACGCTTCAGCTCCAACGGCTTCCTGATGGTTTCCAGAAACAGGACGGTCCGTTTTGATGCCTGGCGTCCTACCAGCGTCGCCGAACTCTCCGCATCCCTCACCGTCACGTCTTTAACGGATGTGTACTGACCTGAGGGCAGGTTAACCAGAGAGGTAACAGACGAGCTGAGCAGGTTCTCTTCTCTTATTGGCTGCTTCCAAAAGTGCCTTCAGTTTGAATGTATTTTATTGATGCTGATGCTTGGTGATGATTTTCCAAATGTTTGCACAATGATCAGAGCAGAAAAACCTGCAAAACAGCAACTGTTTGAACAAAAAAGTGATTTTTCCTGCTTCTGACAACTGTGTTCAATCACAAGAAGGACATTTTTAGCAATCAAAAAGTATTAATTCACACAAAAACCATGACAGGATGAAATTTGCGAGAACAAATACAGTTTTATTCAGGGTTTACAAGATGAACTGGACATTGTTACCCTGGTTCCAGACTTCGAAATCTCCCACATATTAGATTTATTACCTAACTGAATGTACAGATAATTATTTAATTAGGTGAAACTAACATTATTAGGCTCCATATTGATACTGAAGTTCATGAAAACCGTATCAAACTGATATTTTGCTGTTGCAGAGAGACTGTAAAACCTGGATGTGTTGTGTCACATCCGTTTATGTGCCAAAGTGTGTTTTGTATTTGTGCTTAAATTAAATCAACTTGTAAATCTTACTTTTGTAAATAAATATTTAAAAAGTTAACGTGTTTTTTAAAAATCTGTTTCAAAAAACAACTTATTGAGCCTCAGGAGGGGAAATTATGGTCCAGCTGCACAATAGAGATACAGACCTGATAAAAACTAAAAGGGAATTGAAGAATTAAGAATAGATCACTATTACTTATATATAATGTTTGCAGGAGCAGGTGAGTACACCAGTAGAGTGAATAAACAGTTTTATTCCATGCCAACTCACCGAGGGGCTCCCAGTTGAAGTCTTGGATTTTCTTGAAATAAATCCTGGAAAAACTTCTACATAAACCATGAAACCATACAAAATCCCACAGCTCCACTCCAATTACTTTTGTTTTTGAAAATAGTCCCTCTGTGTTACATTTCACAACTTCAGCGATTCTTTTAAAGCACCTTTAAAGCCTCACCAGCTGCTTATTTTTCACAGAATTTTTTTTATTTATTTTTTTACTGAATATCCAAGAAACCTCAAGAAAAACAAAAACTAAAATAAAAATCTATAATTTATCATCAAAACAAAAAATCTTTACATTTTCAAAAAATAATATCTCCACTAATATTCCCTCAATTCCAACCAATTTTTTTTGTTGTGAGTAGAAACTATTTAATTTTTTCATGTTAAAATGTCATTTGATGCTGCATCAAAAATGAAGTGGAGATATTAATTTTTTGAAAATTAACCTATGAATAAATCACCAATTAACCTCAACATGTTTCTGGACTGTGTGGGAGGAAGCCGGAGAACCCAGAGAGAACCCACGCTGCACGGGGAGAACATGCAAACTCCACGCAGAAAGATCCCGGGTGTCCACACCAGGATGCAAACCGGCGACCTTCTTGCTGCGAGGCGACGATGCTAACCACCGAGCCACCTTGCAGCCTGGTTTTTACGGATATTCAGTAAAAAAATAAATGAAATAAAATAAAAACAATCAGCCAAATGTGAAGAATAATTAAGTGAATAATAGTGGAAATATTAATTTGTGAAAATTAAAGATTTTTCATTTTGATGATAAGTTATAGATTTTCAATATTTGAATTGTTTAACAAAAATCAGCATACACTATTTACATGTTTACAAGTTCCAGCTTTTTCTTAAGGTTTCTGGGATATTCAGTGAAAAAAATCCAAATCCTGTGAAACATAAGCAGCTGATGAGGCTTTAAAGATGCTTTAGAAGAATCGCTGAAGTTGTGAAATGTAAAGCAGAGGACCTATTTTCAAAAATTCACAACTCAAAAAATATTTGGAGTAGAGTTGTGGGATTTTATAACATTCTATGGTTTATGTAGAAGCTTTAGCATGATTTTTTCCCCTCCAAAAAACACATGACATGAACTTGGAAAAGTTCTAAAATCTGAATTTTTGCTGCCTTTGCTTTGCTCTTTAACCTGCATTGACCATGAGCTGCCAGCAGGGGGCGACAGGAGCCTTTAAACGCCTCAACTCACATGTTTGTGTTTTTGTTTTTTTAATTTCCAGCTGTTTCATAGTTGAATAAACGGAGGCGCAGCTGTAAAATGAGCCGCGCGTCCTGCATGTTCCGTCCATTTAACCGCACAAACACACGCATCCTCCATGAAGTGTGCGCAGTGACAAAGTGAAGCTTCAATGGAAAAGCGCTGAAACTGAATACACGCGGTCGGTCACCTCCATTTTTTTTCTCTTTGCCTTCCTGTCTGATCTTTGAACCTCCTGATAGATGATCAGATCAGTAGAACCTCGAAACAGTTAAACCCAAACTGAGGAGGGAAAAAAAAAAAAAATCTGCGCTATTTAAACGGACCGCCGCGTGTTTGTGCGCTCACACTGTGCCATGGATGAGACGCTGCGCTGCGCACAAACCGCACGGATATCTTGATTTGTGTTTTTGGGAGGAAATGCTTTGAGAAGAGCAGAAGCAGAAGGGGGAGAAAAAAAAGAAGACTCACGTTTATTTACCAGAGGAAACTTTAAAAGCAGACATGTTTCACTTGAGATGTTTTATTGTTTTGGCTTTTCTTGCAACGTCCCACAGCATAAATGTGGTCGAGCGGGACGGACAGGACTTTTTGGAGAATATTTTACACTATTATGGGGAGAATAAATCTATCACAACAGAGAACCTGGACGATTTACTGCTGCTCATCTCAGCCAGGAGATCTGAGTTAGTAACTGTGGGAAATCCGCTGGAAAACCAAGAGGTTTGTACAGAAACTAGAACAATGTGCTGCTGTTTTTTCTGTTTAAACCCAATATTGATCAGTTGCAGAGTGCAGCATGTGGTTTTTATCCAAATTAGAACAATCTTCATCCATATAGTACTTTCATATACTTTTGGCATAGTTTAAAGCTTTTATTATTACTACACAATGTTAAAAAAAAAGTGTTTGTAATTAGTGGAAAATGAAAAAAGCTTCATACTTTATCAATGAAAACAAATCCTTGCAATATATCTGCTTGCATTTGATTGGAAATAAGTCAAATGATCAATCAGTAAGTCTCCAGATAACAAAACAATCAGATGTATTAATAATCTGACCTGTTTCCAACTAAATGCATCCAAAATAATGAACATTTTACGACATCGTTCTTTGTTTTTTTTCACCAGGTTTCTGCTTTTAAAATGTAATTCATGCATTGAAAGCTCGATAACACACACTATATGTTAGATGAAAGCATTCTGTCTTGAAATATGTTCAACTTTCAAGTATAGAACATAATTTCCTGCCTTCTGACTTCCTATTTATCACCATTTTTACTGTTTTATTGATCATTTAAAGTGTCTTGCAGTGCAACACGTAGTAAGTTTTTGCTTTTAGGTCTAATTCATACATTTAAAGGTTTAATAAAACACACTATGTCCGTCTTAAAATATATAAAAACTGCATACAACTGAATTTCCTGCACTTTTCTCTAATCTTTTCTACTTTGCTCTTCCGCATGTGTACACAAACTATTTACTAAGTGCTGTGATTTTTACTATTTCAACTTCCTATTGATCATTTACAGTGTCTTTCAAGTGACAACATGTAATTCTACTCAGTTTATAAGGGATTTCTATGAAAAATATCACTTTCCTGTTAGTTTTTCTCTTTTTAAGCTGTCTACATATACCTTTTAGACATTGCATAGTAGTGATAAATGCTTGAAACATTGCTTAGTAGCGATACATCTGACTGTCTTGTTATCTGTAGACTTGTCAATTAGTTATCTGACCTGTTTCTGACTAAATGCATGCTCATAAACAAGCGCTTTCTGACAATTTTCTCATTTTTCTCTAGTTTTAATACTCAGTTTTTGCTTTTAGTTGCATTTAAAGCTTCAGTGACGCGCATTATATTCTATATTAAAGCATTCTATCTCAAAATATATTTAACTTTCATGTACACAACTGAATTTGCTGTCTTTCGCCTTGTTTTTTTTCCCCTAATCTTTTCTACTTTGTTGCTGTTTCATACAGCGTCTTGTCGTGCATAACACAGTTCTACCCAGTTTAGACAGATTTTCATGGAAAATATCACTTCACTCTTTCATTGTACGCACCTTACATGCACTTTATTGACATTGTACAGTATTAATAAATGCTGGAAACATTGCTTAGCGCTAATAAATCTGACCTAATGCATGCTCAATAATGAACATTTTATGACAGCTTTCCTATTTTTCTTTAGTTTTAGTGCTCAGTTTTTGCTTTTATATGTAATTTAAGCATTTAAAGGTTCAATAAAACACATTATATGTTAGATGAAAGCATTCTGTCTTGAAGTATGCTAAATTTTAATGTATGAAAATATATTTTTTCTGTCTTTAGCTTGTTTTTTTTCTGTGCTTTCTTCTATTCTTTTCTACTTTGTTGCTGTTTTACCCTCTAGCAATGAGAATAATAGAGCTTTATTTATATAGCTGATTTTGCACAAACAGATGTGCGTCAGAACAGATGTGAGCAAATAACTGAGTTAATAACTCAGCAGAGAGAACATTAAAGGCAACTAAAGTGTTTAAGAGATGTCTAAAGTGGATTTCTGCCCCTCAGTGTCCCTCGGCAGAGCAGATCTTGTCCCACTTTGGCCTCGGTAACGTCAGTCAGCTGACTGTGGGACATCTGGGGACTATCTGCCCCGCCGTGTTGACCCAGGTGCTGCTGCCCTCCTGCCCCTACACCGCCCCCACGGCCGTCCTGCCTGTCGACTACTCTGGTACGTTGCTTCACTTCCCAACTCTGGTTTATTTGTCAAGACCCCCGCAACTCAAATAATTCGCGGATCACGGGGGTTTGTTGCCTTGATTCGGATCCGGCAGCGCTTTCATCCGCAGTGACACAAAGGCCGGAGATTTTTTAGACGATCCTGTGGACGACGGATGCACTTTATGTGCTCGTAGTCTCTGAAAAAAAACAAGAAAATGTGGAGTGTCATAGAATGCATACAATGCACAAAAACTGACCATCAATGTTTACTTCCTCTTCGAGCTCTTTTCTGTTACAGACAGAAAAAAACCCCATAAGATTGAAACAATCCACTCTTCTTAGATTGTTGCATGTTATTTGTGTGACTTGTTGTGCTGCACATAATAAGCCCTATCTAAATAAAGGTTTATTACTCTTATTCTTATTTCCAGGCGGATGAAACAGCAACCAAGTAGAAAAGATTGGAGAAAAATTCAGTTGTATACATGAAAACGTGTGATATTTCAAGGTAGAATACTTTTCTCTAACATATAGTGTGTATATTTGAATCCTAAAAGCAAAAACTGTGCAATGAAACTGAAGAAAATAGGAAAAATATCATTAAGTGCTCATTCATTGGCATGCACTTTATCAGAAATTTGTCAAATTATTAATAAAAACAAAATCCTGACACTTAATAATAAATAACTTAATTAGATCATTTTTAAATACAGAAATCTGGTGCTTTTCAGGACTTTTTAAGTTTGGAAATTACACCAGCTTTATGTTTATTATGAAACAGCCTCCTTTTATCTTATTTGATTTATGATGATCTCAGCGTAAGACTAGTTTGCATCAGTTTA